TCATTGGAAAAGACCCTGATGCTGGGCAAGATTGAAGGCAGGAGGAAAAGGGGGCGACAGAGGATGAGATGGTTAGATGACATCACTGACTCAATGGACATGAATCTGAGCAAACTCTGGGAGGTAGTGAAGGACAGGGAAGCCTGGTGCACTGCAGTCCATGGGGTCACAAAGAGTTAGACACGACTTAGCGACTGAATAACAACAAAATTTCTTCTAGTGGCGGAACAACTGAGATCTATTCTCTCAGTAGGCTTAATATTTATAATACAGTTTTGTTGTGTGTAGTCCTTGTACCGTGTATTAGGTCCCCAGGCTTTATTTATCTACTAGCTGTAAGTGTGTTCCTTCAACATTTCTCCCATACCCCATCACCTGCCTTTGCTAACCACCATCCCACCCTGTTTTCTCAGATTCTTTTTTTTTTTTTAAGATTTTACGTAGAAGAGACATCATACTTCTTTGAATTATCTCACTTAGCATAACCTGAGGATCCATCCAAGTTGTCACAAATGGCAAGATTCTCTTTTTTTCTCATGACAGAATAGTATTCCATTGTATGTGTCTATTGCATCTTTATCCACACTCATCCACTGGTGGACACAGGTTGTCTTCATATCTCGACTGTTCTGAATAAAACTGCAGTCACATGGGAACACAGGTATCTCCCTGATGTTCTGTTTTCGTTTTCTTTGGATAAGTAGCCAGAAGTGGGATTGTTGGATCATACGGTGGTTCTGTTTTTAATATTTTGTGGAATCTCCAGACTGTTCTCCACAATGGCTGGGCCCGTTTACATTCCCACCAACAGGGTACAGATGTTCTCTCTTCTCCACATCCTCTCCAGCACCGGTCATCTCTGGATGATAGCCGTTCTTACACGTGTGAGGTGATATCTTACCTTGTGGTTTTGATTTGCATTTCCCTGATGATTGGTGATGCTCTGCAGTTGATGAAAAAACGTACAACCTCAAAGTTGAAGCATGTTTTATTCAACAGACCTGCTGAGGACTTAAGTCTGGGAGGCAGCTTCTCAAATAAGCTCTGAGGAAATGCTCTGAAGAGGTCAGGTAGGAGCTAGGATATATAGGAGGTTATGCGACAAAAACCACGTAGTGGGAACATCAAAATATTACTGTTACAATAATGAAAGAAAATCAGACATGCCAAAGTTAATGAATTTAGTGCTTTTCTAGGTATGGGAAGCAAGAATCTAGGCTTAGTGAAATCATTCCTTTGATTCGCACCTGAACTGTCTAGGGCCAGCATCGTTTTCTCCATCCTGAGTCTCCTCGGGGAGCAGAGTCCGGGGCCGCCGCAGTGATTGAGGGCAGCAACATCCTTTATTTACTGATGTGGCAGGTGATACTTGTCTATGGAGCACTTTTGTGTGCTGTTGGCCATTTGTATGTCTTCTTCAGGAAAAAAAAAAAAAGGCCATTTAGCTCCTGTTCTTTTTTTTTTTTTTTTTGGCCTCAAGGCATATGGGATCTTAGTTCCCCGAACAGGGATTGGACCTGCACCCTCTGCATTCGAAGCACGGAGTCTTAACCACTGGACTGCCAGGAGAGTCTCCCCTACCGAGTTTTAAAGCGGTTTTTGTTGTTGCTGTTATTGAGTTGTATGAGTTCTTTATGAATTATGGATATGAACCCCTTATCAGATGCAAGCCTTGAAATAATTCCCCCACATGCCATAGGCTGCCTTTTTATCATTAATTTATTTTTTTGGCTGCGCTGGGCCCTTGGGCTTTCTCTAGTTGCAGTGGGTGGGAGTTACTCTCACAGGCCTCACCTTGTGGTGAAAGTGAAAGTCGCTCAGTCGTGTCTGACTCTTTGCGACCCCATGGACTACACAGTCCGTGGAATTTTCCAGGCCAGAATACTGGAATGGGTAGCCTTTCCCTTCTCCAGGGGATCTTCCCGACCAGGGATCGAACGCGGGTCTCCCGCATGACGGGCGGACTCTTTACCAGCTGAGCTACCAGGGAAGGCCTCTCCTTGTGGTGGCTTCTCTTACTTCGGAGCACGGGCTCCAGAGCGCGCAAGCACAGATTTCAGCAGTGCTGGCGCTCAGGCTTAGCTGCCCCCTCAGCACATGGAGTCTTCCTGGACCAGGGATCAAGACTGTGTCCCCTGCATTGGCAGGAGGATTCTTTTTTTTTTTTTTTTGGCCAAGGTAGTCCTAAGGGTGCCTTTTTATTTTAATTGTTTCTTTTGCAGTGTTCAGTTCAGTCATTCAGTCATGTCCGACTCTTTGCAACCCCATGGACTGCAGCACACCAGCCTTCCCTGTCCATCACCAACTCCCGGAGCCTGCTCAAACTCCTGTTCATCAAGTTGGTGATGCCATCCAACCATCTCATCCTCTGTTGTCCCCTTCTCCTCCTGCCTTCAATCTTTCCCAGCATCAGGGTCTTTTCTAATGAGTCAGTTCTTTGCATCAGGTATTGAAACTTTTAAGTTGATATAGTCCTACCTATTGATTTTTTTTCTTTTGTTATTTGTGCTTTTGATGTCATAACTGAGATGTTATTGCAAGACCCATATTGAGAAGCTACTGTTTTGGTTTTTTTCCCAAGCTTTAAACTTTTTGTTTTGTATTGGGGATATAGCCGATTAACAATGTTGTGATAGTTTCTGGTGAACAACTAGGCAACTCAGCCATACTTACACAGTATCTTTTCTCCCCCAACCTCACTCCCATCCAGGCTGGCATATAACATTAAATAGAGTTCCATGTACTATGCAGTAGGTCCTTCTTGGTCACCTATTTTGAATATAGAAGTGTGTACATGATTCTCAGGAGCTACTACATTTTCTTCTAGGAGTTTTATTAGGTATTATGTGTCTTTGCCTACAAACACCCATATAGTCAGAGCTATGGTTTTTCCAGTAGTCGTGTATGGATGTGAGAGCTGGACAGTAAACAAGGCTGAGAGCCAAAGAATTGATGTCTTTGAACTGTGGTGCTGGAGAAGACTCTTGAGAGTCCCTTGGACAGCAAGGAAATCAAACCAGTCCATCCTAAAGGAAATTAACCCTGAATATTCATTGGAAGGACTGAGCTGAAGCTGAAACTCCAATACTTCGGCCACCTGATGTGAAGAATCAGCTCATTGGAAAACACCCTGATCCTGGGCAAGATTAAAAGCAAGAGGAGAAGAGGGTGGCAAAGGATGAGATGGTTGGATGGCATCATCGACTCAACGAACATGAGTTTGAGCAAACTCTGGGAGATGGTGATGGACAGGGAAGCAAAGAGTCAGATGTGACTGAGTGACTGAACAACAAAGTGTCTTTGATCCATTTCAAGTTAATTTCTGTGAGTACCTTCAGAGAGAGGTCCAATTTCATTTTGAGCATGTAGTTATCCAGTTTTCCCAGCACCATCTGTTGAAGAGACTATCCTGGAATCAATATTTTTAAAAGTTTCCCAGGTGTTTCTAACCAGACAGATACCCAGAGCTGTGGAGTGTCACCTCCAGCAGAGCAGAAATTTCCTGGGCTCTCACTGAAGCCCCGGACCCAGTGTCCAGTCAGAAGGGGGCAGGAGGCTCTGAACCCTGCTGCAGTGTGGTGCTGGGGGTGGTCACCCCACTGCAGCCCAGCAGTCCCCGCAACCTCTGTCTCCCAACGACCCTGCAAAAGGAAGCTCAGGGTGAGTGGGAGGTGGGTGTGGGCTGCCACGTCCTGTGTTGGGAGCCTCTCCTGGGTGCTGTGGGGACCCTCTGAAGTGAAGTGTTAGTCACTCAGTCATGTCCGACTCTTTGAGACCCCATGGACAGTAGCCCACCAGGCTCCTCTGTCCATGGAATTTTCCAGGCAAGAGTACTGGATTGGGCTGCCATTTCCTTGCCATTGTCAAAATTCCAGGGGATTTTCCTGACCCAAGGATTGAATCTTGGTCTCCTGCATTGCAGGAAGATTCTTTCCCAGCTGAGCCACCAGGGAATCCTTGGGGGGCTCTTTGCTGACCTGCAAACACACCAGATGTGGCCTGGAGATGGGATAGGGGCGACAGTGGTAAGACTGAGGGGAGCTTATTATGGGCCTGGCACTTTCCTAAGGCTTTGCATTAACCCAGTAATCCCGAAGTAGCCTTTTGAACCCTTTGAGCTGAGTATCCCTGGTTTGTTGTTCAGTCGCTCAGTCATGTCCGACTCTTTGCAACCACATGGACTGCAGCACGCCAGGCTTCCTCGTCTTTCACCAACTCCTGGAACTTGCTCAAACTCATGTCCATTGTGTCAGTGATGCCATGCAACCATCTCACCCTCTGTCATCCCCTACTCCTCCTGCCTTCAATCTTTCCCAGCATCAGGGTCTTTTCCAATGAGTCAGTTCTTCACATCAGGTGGCCAAAGTATTGGGGCTTCAGCTTCAGCACCAGTCCTTCCAATGACTATTCAGGACTGATTTCCTTTAGGATGGACTGGTTTGATCTCCTTGCAGTCCAAGGGACTCTCAGGAGTCTTCTCCAACACCACAGTTCAAAAGCATCAATTCTTCCTTGCTCAGCAGCCTTTTTTATAGTCCAACTCTCACATCCATACAGGACTACTGGAAAAGCCGTAGCTTTGACTAGACAGCCCTTTGTCGGCAGTGATGTCTCTGCTTTTCAATCCCTGGTTTACAGGTGAGGAAGCTGAGGCACAGAGAAGTGGAGTTAACCTCCAGAGTCACAACAGAGGGAAGTGGCAGAGTGGGGATTCGAACTAGCACCTCCCATCCCTGAGACCACTGAGGGACACACAGGTGCTCCCCTACACGCAGAGACACGCACAGAGACCTAGACACAGACAGACACGGGGACACACACACACACACACACACACACACACACACACACACACACACACGCCAGGCACGCCCTCGGCCGCGCAGGGCCTCCCCTAGCGGAGGAGGTGGCCCGGAGGCGGGGCGCGGCCACTCCCGGCGCCGGGAGGAAGTGCCGGCCCCCTGCCTGGACTCCGGGCGAGTCCTCCCGCGGGTCGGGCCATGGAGGCGGAGCCGCCGCTTTACCCGGTGGCGGGGGCCGCGGGGCCGCAAGGCGCTGAGGACCGGCTCGGAGTCCCCGACGGGCCCGAGGCCCCGGTGAGCGGGGAGGCGGATGGCGTCGGGGCGCGGGCACCGGGAGGGCCTGGGTCTCCCCGGCGGGAGTGGGATGCGGCCCCGGAGGGTGGAGGCAGTGGGGCTGGACGCGGGAGCGGCAGGGATGTGCCTTTGCGACGGGCAGTGGTGCCCCGCAGCTGGACGAGCTGGTGGGCGCGTACCCCAACTACAACGAGGAGGAGGAGGAGCGCCGCTACTACCGCCGCAAGCGGCTCGGCGTGCTCAAGAACGTGCTGGCGGCCAGCGCGGGCGGCATGCTCACCTACGGCGTCTACCTGGGTAGGTGGTCGGCGGCGCGCCCCGCTGGGGGCGGGCTGGGCCCCGGGCCCGGCGAGGAGGCACTGCCCACGGGCTCCGCACGGGGACCCAAGGCTCCCCCATCCTCCTCCGGCTCCATCTGCGGATCTGTTTCTCAGGGAAAGAGAAACCTCGGCCTCCCTTCCTCTTTCACTTCTCCATCTGCGCCCTCGCAGATGCAGCTGCGGCGCTCCCTCAGTGGGGGCGTCCCGGGGTGGGGGCCAGCCTCGGCCCTCGAGAGTCTGTGGGCGGCTCTGGGGGCCCTGGGCCGATCTGCTGCCATCCTCGGGGTGGGGGGCATGGGGGCTCTGGGGTCCGAAAGTCTGGCAGAGCGACTTTCGGCAGGGGAGGGGGGAGTCTAGATTCAAGTCCCCGTCGTTGCCACTGCCCGGTGGGACCTGGGCCTCCCGGCTGTTCTCCTGGGCGCTGGAGTTAGGGATCCCTTTGGTGCCTGGAGCTCCCTGCTGGGCTTTGCATTCCGGCCTCTGCTGGGTTGCCCCAGAGCCAGGCAGCCCCCTCCATGCCCGCTCCCTGCCCCCCAGGCCTCTTGCAGATGCAACTGATCCTGCATTATGACGAGACCTACCGCGAGGTGAAGTACGGCAACATGGGGCTGCCCGACATCGACAGCAAGATGCTGATGGGCATCAACGTGACGCCCATTGCGGCCCTGCTCTACACGCCGGTGCTCATCAGGTGCGCTGGCCACCGTCCCTGCCAGGGCTGGGCTGCCCGCACTCCGACCTTGAAGGGGTGCAAGGGCTATTGGACATCAGGGTCTCCAGCTGCCCTGGTGTTCCTGGGGGCTGGGGAGAGGCCTTGCTGACTTGGAGGGGTGAGAGAGAAGGGGTGAAACCCAGGTTTGGGGAAGAAACAAGAGCTTTGACCTGGGACACCGTGGGTTTCAAGCAAGAGAAATTCGCTCTGGCTCCTTCGCTCAGCTTGCCTGTACCCCACGTGGCATCATTCTCGTGCCCTGCTTTGTGGCCTGGAGCCACAATGAGCTTATGAGGTCAGGGCTGTGGCGTTTCTGGAAAGAATCTGACCAGCCAGCAAAGCCCAGGGACACACCCCAGGACCCATCAGCGGTGGCAGTGTTGAGGGGCATTGCTCACTGCAAAGGACATGGTTGGGCTGGTGCCCTGGGGGTGTCTACTCCAGACCTGAGCCTTACTGGCATCTGGGGCCATCGCCGGGCCCTCCACAAGAACCTAACCACCAGGTGGTAGGTCTGTGTTCAGATGGGACCCAGAGATCAGTGCGTATACTGGATCTCTTCCCCTGTCTTTCCAAAACAAGAGCAACCCCACCCCACCCCCAAGCTTCTGGGCTGTTTCCTTGTCTTAAAATTAAAGAGAGAGAGGGGGTGAGGGAGAGAGAGAGGCTGAGAAAGAAAGAAAGGAAGGAAGGAAGAAAACCTCCCAGGATAAATTTTCAGACCTGCCCTGACTAGGTCAGAGGCATATAAAAGGCTTTATGGCTCTTGAAACCTATCACTGTTATTCACAGCGACCTCATTTCCTTTGTGCTGGGCACTTTATAAGCGTATCGCATTCCCTACAATCCAAGGTGGATGCTCTAATCTTAGACACAGGGAGGCCAAGAGATTGAACTGATCCCCACAGGCAGAAGTGCAGACTGGAAAGCCCGAACCCAGGCAGAGTGACTGGGGACCCCATGCTTTCCCTACCCCCATACTCCCAGGTGGACTTTCCAAAGGGCTGTACCACCTGCCTGAGCACTGACTGTGTCATTTTAAAACCACAGCCTCACCAGCAATGAGTGTTAGTAGTTTTACTTTTTGCAGTTTCAAAATGTACAGTGCAGTTTCGGTGCCCTTCCCCAAATAGATCAGGGGAGGCTGAATGTCTGTTTATTAGATGGCAGTTCAGTTCAGTTCAGTCTCTCAGTCTTGTCCGATTCTTTGTGACCCTGTGGACTGCAGCACGCTAGGCTTCCCTGTCCATCACCAACTCCTGGAGCTTACTCAAACTCATGTCCATTGGGTCAGTGATGCCATCCAACCATCTCATCCTCTGTTGCCCACCCCCTTCTCCTCTTGCCCTCAATCTTTCCCAGCATCAGGGTCTTTTCTAATGAGTCGACTTTTTCACATCAGGTCGCCAAAGTACTAGAGCTTCAGCATCAGTCCTTTCAATGAATACTCAGGGTTGACTTCCTTTAGGATTAACTATTTTGATCCTAGGTGCGTGACCACATGATCATGGCTATCTAGGTCATTAAGACCTTTTTTGTATAGTTCTGTGTATTCTTGCTACCTCTTCTTAATCTCTTCACAAGCAAGCATACTCCAATAAAATAAAAAAGAACCAGGACCCTATTGTAGAAAAAAAAGCAATTGTATCAGAAAACCAGAGTCACTGAACTTTGAGCTTGCTGGAAACTCAAACAAAGAAAGGAAATAATGAGCACAAATACTCAAAACAGACAAACAAAAACCAAAACGAAGCTAATCCCAAGATCAGAGGGGTGGTTTCTAACCCGATCAGCCTCCACGCTCTGAATGGGCCCTTATCCTGTCATTTGTCAACCCCTTCCTAACATAGTGTGACACTTTCCAAGAGCCAGTGAGGCTGTTGTTCTAGGAGCCAGTGAAGAGGAAATTTCCCAACTGACCATGCTGGACTGAAAGGGCAAAGTGCAGAGGGGACGTGGCGCTAGGGCTCTCTCCGTGGTCCTCAGTTTTCCTCCACTCAGTTTCCTGGGACAAGTTCCTTAGACATTCGCTTTGGGTCCTGCAGTCACTCTTTGTGGGTAGAGGAGGGGCCTTGTGTCCACAGGCCACTGTCTCCTGACACCTTCTCCTCGCTTTATCTCCTCTATCCCTGCGGTGGCCATGAGAAGCTCGCAGCTGGGGCACGACGCACATTACATCTGTGTGGTTACAGTGGCTCACCTGAGGCCACCAGCAAGTCCGTATCTCTGAGACTCTAGTTCAGGTCCCTCGATTCCAAGGCCAGGGGTCTCTCCCCACCTCACCCAGCCTCAGGAGCTGGGACCCAGAGTTGTGGCCCCTGTGGTCTGGGGCCGCAGCTGCCTAGGTGGCCCATGGTGCCCGCATCCTTCCTACCACCTGCAGGTTTTTTGGCACCAAGTGGATGATGTTCCTGGCTGTGGGCATCTATGCCCTCTTTGTCTCCACCAACTACTGGGAGCGCTACTACACACTTGTGCCCTCAGCTGTGGCCCTGGGCATGGCCATTGTGCCCCTTTGGGCCTCCATGGGCAACTACATAACCAGGTGAGTCTGGTGGGCAGCAGGGTGGAAGACTGGGAACCCAACAGAGCTGTACTGCCCACCTCAGCTGGTGGACCTTAGGCCAGCCTTATTTGCCCTCTGGGCCTCAGCTTCCCCATAGGTGGGACACAGGCCGGGTAGCACATATGCTTGGGTACAGAAAGTAAGGCATCTGGCTGACACAGAGCTGAAGAAAGCCTTCTCTCCTTTGTGGTCCAGGATGGCCCAGAAATACTATGAGTACTCCCACTACAAGGAGCAGGATGAGCAGGGCCCCCAGCAGCGCCCACCACGGGGCTCCCATGCACCTTACCTCCTGGTCTTCCAAGCCATCTTCTACAGCTTCTTCCATGTGAGTGCCATACCTGGGGACCCTGGGGGCAGGCTATTCCAGGCCCAGAATCACATAGTGCAGCCCATCCCACAGTTTTTCCAGCCCTCTAGTCCACTGCCCTTTCTTAGGCCAACCCTTGCTTGCTTACCTCTAGTGACAGAGACCTCATTACCTCACTGTCCATGGTGCTGACCAGGAGGAAGTCCTCCTGCAATGGGCACCCCCCCACCACCGGACTGCCCCCCAGAGGTGGGAGGGTCCCTGTCCTCCCAAGGCTGTGCCCAGACCCCTCCCAGATGGTGCCTGTGCTCTCTGCCTGGTTCCATGCCCCACACCTGACCCACACCACCCTCTGCCCACAGCTGAGTTTTGCCTGTGCCCAGCTGCCCATGATCTACTTCCTGAACCACTACCTGTATGACCTGAACCACACGCTATACAATGTGCAGAATTGCGGTTAGTGCTCAGGGGGGTGGGTTCCCTAAGGTCTGCTCGCCTCCCCCACTGAGTCACCCGGCAGACACTGGGCCCTTAAGGGCGGAAAGGATGCCCTCGCTCACAGGATCCAGAGCTGAGAGCCTGCTGTCACAGCTCTGGAGATCAGGAAAAGCAAAGGGCCTTGTCCTTAGGACGTCTGACTCAGCCTGGGGTCAGGGTAGGGTGCATCAGGGAAGGCCGCCTAGAGGAGGTGCCGTCTGGGCTGAGGCTGCCTGTGGAACCTCTCAGGATCAAGTACACCCTCAAGGCAGGGAGATGTATGGAGGTGGGCGGTGGGCTGGCAACCTGGGGAGAGGTACTTTCAGCCCCCTTGGCCCTCACCTCCAAAGTGCTTTCCAAAGGAGCCCTGCCTTTGCAGGCACGGGTCCTCCGCCACCCCCGCTAACACTCCCCGCACCCGTCTGCTTGGTCCCGTTTCTTTATGGCTGAGTTGCCAGTGTGCCCTGCTCCCTGCCTCACGATGCCCCCCACCCTCCCTTTTCTCAGGCACTAACAGCCAGGGCATCCTTCTCGGCTTCAACAAGACGGTTCTGCGAACGCTACCGCGGAGCCGAAACCTCATTGTGGTGGAGAGCGTGCTCATGGCGGTGGCCTTCCTGGCCATGCTGCTGGTGCGGCCCGGGGTGGGGGTGTGGCGAGGTCGGGTCTGGGGCCCCTGGCGGGAAGCGAGGCGGCTTCGTCTGAGTCCGGAGTCAGGGCTGAATCCTCGGAGGGGACCTGAGCCTAGCGCTGGGCTTGAGGCTCGGAGGCGTGGCCGATGCCTGTGGACTGAGAGAGGAGTTGGAATACTGGAGGCCAGTGAGAGAAGGTCCAGGCCAGATCCGGGGTCGAGCTGGAGACAGGGTCCTGGAGGACTGGTTATGACACCGGGCAGAACCGGGGTTGAGGGGAATGGGGGGACGGGGCGAGGGTCCGAAGTGTGGGTCTGAGGTGTGGCTTCAACCTGGGGGCGGGGCCGGGAGGCCAGTCCTGGGATCTGCCGGGGGCGGGGCTGGGGCTGAGAGGGCGGGGCCGAATTCAAGGGGCGGAGCCAGGGCTCCCGGCTGCCCGCCCCCTCCCTCACCACCTGGCCCGCAGGTGCTGGGCCTGTGCGGAGCCGCATATCGGCCCACGGAGGAGATCGACTTGCGCAGCGTGGGCTGGGGCAACATCTTCCAGCTGCCCTTCAAGCACGTGCGCGACTTCCGCCTGCGCCACCTCGTGCCCTTTTTCATCTACAGCGGCTTCGAGGTGCTCTTTGCCTGCACTGGTCTCGCGCTGGTAAGTGCAGCCTGCAGAGGGTAAAGCCAGATAAAGTCCACGACATTTGAACTTTGGAAAAACAAGTTTCGAATAAGTTTCAAATAAGTTTCGAATTGATCAGTCAGTTCAGTTCAGTGGCTCGGTGGTGTCCGACTCTGTGACTCCACTGACTGTATGTAGCACGCCAGGCCTCCCGGTCCATCGCCAACTCTGGGAGTTTACCCAAACTCATGTCCATTGAGTCGGTGATGCCATCCAACCATCTCATTCTCTGTTGTACCCTTCTCCTCCTGCCTTCAATCTTTCCCAGCATCAGGGTCTTTTCAAATTTCGAATTTATAAGTATGTGTAATACAAGTACAGTCGGCCCTCCGCATGTGCAGATCCAGAGGGCCCACAGTACTACCCCATTTTATAGAAGAGACCTGAGCATCCACAGAGGGTATCCACGGAGAGTCCTGGAGTCAACCCCCCGCAGACACCGAGGGACAATCATAGGCCCAGATATCCTTCCCCTCTCCTTTTGCCTCTCTCCCCCAATCCCCGTGTACCTTGGGAAAGTTACTTTCACCTCTCCCAGCCTGCTTCCTCATCTGGGAAGTGTCTAATGACTCACTTCCAGTTGAGACGGAATCGGGCCCAGAAGGTGTTTGGTTCCATGCAGGTTCCAACCTTGGTGTCTGGGGCCACTGTCCAAGCATTTCCTCGTGGTCTATCCCTAAGGAAACTTCCCACAAGCTTTGGAGGAAGTTGGCCCTGTGGTGGCCGTTGAGAGGGCAGGGTGTGGCCTGACCTGAGTGAAAAAGCCTGGGCCAGCTGACCACCAACCTTACCCCCGTCCCCCTTAGGGCTACGGCGTGTGCTCGGTGGGGCTGGAACGCCTGGCGTACCTCCTCGTGGCTTATAGCCTGGGCGCCTCGGCCTCCTCGGCCCTGGGCCTGCTGGGGCTGTGGCTGCCACGGCCGGTGCCCCTGGTGGCTGGGGCTGGACTGCACCTGCTGCTCACTCTCAGCCTCTTCTTCTGGGGCCCCAAGCCCCGGACCCTGCAGCACATCTGGACCCTCTACGCAGTAGCCGTGCTCTGGGGTGTGGGCAGTGCCCTCAACAAGACTGGGATCAGCAGTGAGTACAGCCGTGGCCCTGGGTAGCTGGACAGGGGATCCAGTGGCTCCTCGGGGCAGTTGTGGGGAGCACAGACATCCCAGGGACAGACGTAGGGTCGATGGACACTCTGGAGGGCTGTCATGAGGACCGTGCCCTGGTGGGTGCAGGTGGGATCCCTATGCACACTGTTGGTGGGGGGAAGTCCCGTGGACACTGCAGGGACAGATGGGGGCTGTGGACACCCTCAAAGCAGGTATGGAGTCACCTGCATGAACATCCTGTCGATTCCCAGGGCAGGCATGGGATCCAGGGTGACATTGTGTGGTTCCATGAGCTGAGTATGGGGCTCTGTGGACACCCCTTCAGTTCAGTTCAGTTCAGTCGCTCAGTCGTGTCCGACTCTTTGCGACCCCATGAACTGCAGCACGCTAGGCTTCCTTGTCCATCACCAACTCCCGGAGTTTACTCAAACTCATGTCCATCGAGTCAGTGATGCCATCCAACCATCTCATCCTCTGTCGTCCCCTTTTCCTCCCGCCTTCAATCTTTCCCAGCATCAGGGTCTTTTCCAATGAGTCAGTTCTTCACATCAGGTGGCCAAAGTATTGGACACCTGTTAGGAATCATGTAAAAAAAACACCGGGGAGGCCTTATTTCATAGTAGGGGGCAGGGTCCACCTTGGCATAGTTTTCAGAACACTGGAAACATATCAAGGTCTCTGCCCCAGAACAGGTCCATTGCATGCCAGAATAATAACCAGGGTGTGTCCATTAGGGGGCTCACTGGAAAAGTCCCTGATGCTGGGAAAGATTGAAGGCAAAAGGAGAAAGGGTCAACAGAGGATGAAATGGTTAGTTAGCATCACTGACTCAATGGACATCAGCTTCAGCAAACTCCAGTAGATAGTGAAGGACAGGGAAGCCTGGAGTGCTGCAGCCCACGGGATTGCAGAGTGGGAGACGACCGAGTGACCGAACAACAACGAACCACTAGGGGGCAAGCCAGGACCGGTTTACAACAGCTTTCTAAGGGCTCTTGCCAAGGGCTGGGACCAGCGCAGGGCATGGGGCCGGTGGGGGGGGGGGGGGGGGGTTCCCCAGAGGGAGGACTGTAGCTCTGGGCCCCACCTGGCTCCTCTCCCCTCTCTGCCCTGCCCTGTCTGCAGCACTCCTGGGAATCCTGTATGAGGACAAGGAGAGGCAAGACTTCATCTTCACCATCTATCACTGGTGGCAGGCTGTGGCCATCTTCACCGTCTACTTGGGCTCAAGCCTGCCCATGAAGGTGAGGACCCTCCCTACTTGACTCCCTAGACAACAGGTACTTTTGAGTGCCCGCTCTGGCCTCACAGACCCTGAAAGGCATTCTCTGTCCGAGAGCCAGACCCTGGGCAAAGCCCACTGGCTTGTTACTTACTGCTTCATCTCCTGCCAGCCTCAGTTTACCTGTGTCTGAAAGGGTTCATAGTTTGCCCTCTAGCCTTGTGGGCACGTCCCAGCTGCCTTGTGGGCTGTTTAGCCACCTGTTAACTAGATGTTGGGCTCCGAGCTGGATGCTGAAAGTCTGTCTCCCTTCTTGACCCTCAAGGGTCCTGGCCAACTTTAAAAACAATTAAAAATTTTTTTTATTTATTTGACTGCACTGGGTCTTAGTCGCAGCACACAGGATCTTAGGTGGAGCATGTGGAATCTAGTTCTCTGGCCAGGGATTGAACCTGGGTCTCTTGCATTGGGAGCACAGAGTCTTAGCCACTGGACTATCAGGGAAGTCCCTGGCGAAGTTTTTTTTTTTTTTTTTTTTTTTTTAATGAAATAGCATAGGGAATAGCAGGGAGTATGTCTGTTAATATGTGTGAATGTACTGCCTTATGATGTAAAATTATTTCTGACTGCCTGTTACAGTCAAACCATGTAACAAGTGTCACTTATGGTCCTCAGATGTAAGGGAGAGAGTAATTTAAGCCCTGTTAAGGTGGGCCAAGCCTCCCTTCACGTCTACCCCGGGAGGCAAAAGGATTATCATTACAGTAAGGGAAACAGAGGCCCTGAGAAGTAGGGTGGCCATAAAGGACAGGGCTGGGGTTCGGGCCTTGCCGGCAGGACGGTACCCAAGAAGCTTGGCTGGACCCCGGGAGGAGGGACTGCAGCAGAGCAGCTGAGCGTGCCTATCCGGGCGAGGGGCTGGGCCGGGAGGGCTGCATTCTCCCCCTGTTTGCCCAGGCTAAGCTGACGGTGCTGCTGGTGACCCTGGTGGCGTCCGCCGCCTCATACCTGTGGATGGAGCAGAAGCTGCGGCGGGGCGTGGTCCCGCGCCAGCCCCGCATCCCTCGGCCCCAGCACAAGGTGCGCGGCTACCGCTACCTGGAGGAGGACAACTCGGACGAGAGCGACGCGGAGGGCGAGCGCGGCGGCTGCGGAGGCGGCGGCCGTGGGGACTGCGCGGAGGAGGAGGCGCCGCCCGCGGGGCTACGACCCGGCCCGGAACCAGCCGGTCTCTACCGCCGGCCCTGCCCCTACGAACAGGCGCAGGGAGGCGATGGGCCAGAGGAGCAGTGAGGGGCCAAGCGTGATCTCCGGCCTAGGTTTAACGCGTCTCAGGTCGAGGCCCCTCTGATTCCGCGCGCCAATTTCATGAAGGACCCTCTGCGCGCCCCGCCCCGGGTTCAGGAACGCCCCTCCCAGAGCCTGGCCACCTGGAGCTTGGGATCCTCCCCGCAGCCTCTTCCAAGGCGGGCTGGGTCCTCGAGACCCCTCCGCCAGGCCCAGGGTTCAAGAGACCGCACAGCGGAAATCCTCCTCTGACCTTAGGGGTCCTCTCTCCACGACCCCCTTCCCGGCCCCAGCCCCGGGGCAGGGACCCCGCCGTCCCGCCCCAGCTCCCGGCTCCAGGTCTGGGCCCGCTTTGCACATTCTATCCCACGGTCCGCCAAGATATACGACTTTAAGAAAATGGACAATAAAGAGATTTTTGTATTTTCCTGATTGGGAAGCGTGTCGTGGGTGAGCAGAGATGGCCCGGCGTGTGTGGCCGGGTGACCTAGCCGACTGGGGCACTGGGGTCGCCTGCCTTGAACTGAGGTTGGGGAGGGAAGGTCCCCTAAGCCCCCCTCACCAGGCCGTCCCCGCTCCTGGAGGTACCGCCCCTCCCCACCCCCGCTGGCTTTTGCCAGTTCCACCCCACCCACTCAGGACAAAGAGGCGCCTGGGGGTCGTCAGTAGGGACCTCAAGGGAGTGTGATGGGGGCAGCCAGCGGCACCCCCCCCCCCCCCCGCCATGGTCTAGAGGAGGGGATGGAATCCTGCAGCCCAGGTCCCGCTGCCCCCTGCTCTAACATCCCCAGCCCTCCTGCCCCACCCCCATCTTTTCTTTACCCCTTGGGCCGCTTCTGCCCACAGCTCCCCAAGGGACTCCTTTTGGGGCCAAGTCCATTTCTGAGCCATGCGAGGGTCACCCCGTGTCCAGTATGGGCCTGGGGCATTGATGTCTGAGCCCAGCTAAACTTGGCTGCTGGTCTTCCGGGGTGACAGCCTACTCTGTGATGTCCAGGAGGGATGCAGATGCTGGTGGGAGGGGGCAGACCCCTATCCCCCGAGGTCACCCACCACTGTGGGGAGAGGGGACTGAGATCCCACTGTGAGGGGAGGCAAGGGGACCACAGGAGGGTCCTGGAGCCCAGCTGCACCCCAGCAGGTCCGTACCAGCAATGCTGGAGCCAAAGCATTCCTCCTCACACCACATCCACCCCTGGCTGACTCCCAGACCCTTGTCCACACCCACTTCAGCATCGGTCTCCTAGCTTCTTCCACCCACTGTGGCCCTCTCTCCTTTGCCTCCCGCAGACCTCACTTGAGTTTGGTTCCAGCAGCCTCAGTGGGCCCTGGAGCCAGACTCTTGAACTCAGACAGGGGGTCAGCCCGTCTGAGCCACTTTCCTCCTCTGTAAATGGTATCTGTGGTGGCACCAAGGTCCCCAGAGCTTGTAGGAAACTCACAAGGGCACAGAGGATATTTTAAATTGTCTAAAATGTGGACATCTCCCCGCTCTGAGCAAATTCACAGGTTCAGCATTAGATGACACCACAAATCCTTTCATGTCACATCTTTGAGAAGGTGGGTTTCCTGTGGTTTCGGGATAAAAAAATGGACATGACCATGGACCAAGAAATGAGACCGGGGGTGTCCCATCTGATTCCAGGTTTGAGAAGCTGACTGGTGAACACAGCCAGTTTGTAAGTCACAGTGGTTATTGTTGTCGAGTCATTATGTCATATCCAACCTTCCGTGACCCCATGGACTGTAGCCCACCAGGCTCCTTTGTTCATGGGGTTGTGAAGGCAAGAATACTAGAGTGGGTTGCCATTTCTTTCTCCAGGGGATCTTCTCAATCCAGGAATCGAAACTGAGTCTCCTGCATGTGTCTCCTACATTGTAGGTGAATTCTTTACCACTGAGCTACCAGTGAAGCCCGGTGGTTATTAGCGAAGGAAATAAAAATGCCATTTTTTGTTTCTTTCTATTGGTGCGTATTATTCAATATATTCTCTAAGTGACTACTAAGTTATTAGATCATACTTATTTATTGATTGGACCTAAAATAATTCACAAATAGAACAGTTAGATATTTCTTTTGGCTTAGGAGCACCGTGAAAAAATTACTGAGACACTGCGGGTTTAGGACCAGGGAACGCTTGGGCAGCTCTGTGTTAGCAGAGGGCTGGCACGGAGTTACCCACAGGGAGTCCCTCGTTGGACCCTGGGCCCCCCTCCTGCCTTGTCCAGAGAACTGCAGCATCTTTTCTGGCCCCAGCCTGGGGACGGAGATTAAACCTATGGTCTGTGAAGCCCCAGGCCCTGCTCTGAACCAGCATAAACTAGTCACCAAGTTGTTTTTGGCAGATTCGAGGATCCTGCCATATAGAAGGGCAGCGAGGCCCACTCCTCTCCACAGCCTCCCCAGCAGGTGATCTCTAGACTCAGACAGATGGAGGGGCTGAAAACTGCCTGCCTCATACACAGACTTTCAATGACAAGCAGACCCAGACTGGGTCATGCGGGGGGGCTGGCACCCTGTCCTCCCCGTTCCCCAGCAGTATCTGGCATGGAAGGCAATATTCTCTGATGGCAGATGTGACGACCTCCTTCTGGCAGGGTTCCAGCCAGACAGAGCTGGGCAACCAGATGCTTGAGCCATAAGCAGGGCAGGGCATCATTTGGAAAAGTGTGGGTGCCTGGGCGTGCCAGGCAAGTGAGGAGGGGAAGACAATGGATCTACAGCTGGCCACAGTTCAAAGTCATTTCCAGGGATGAGCCCAGGTACGCGGAGCCGCCGCCTGGGAGAGAGCATGACTTCCAATGACAGGCCTTGCAGGTGGGTAGGCTCACCATCAGGAGACTTCACGCCCCCCTCCTACTGCTCCTGGCACTTGGACAAGACTCACAGACAGACACACGGAACAGGCCACACCCATAACAAGCAACACACACACACACATACACACCCAGAACAAGCAGGGTAACTGTCACAGCAGCAAGCCCCAGCCGGTCAGCTCTTACAGGGACGCCTAATTAAGCCATCAGATGTGGATGCTCCATCCCTTGGCAGCTCCAGGTCTGGTTGTAAAGTACAATATTGATGTCTCTGTCACCTCTGGGTAAGGGGACTGGGTGGCCGTCTGGACTCCAAAGTGGAAAGTCAGACTCAGCATCATGGTCTTGGCTTCTGTGATTCTGTGTCAATCTGCCCTTGGGTAATTTTAAAAATTATATGATTCCAAGACTCTATAGTGTAAGATTTTAACAATCTTCTCAATATGGATTTGCCTCTTCTAGACATTTCATGTAAAACAAATCATTCAACATGTTCCCTTTGATGTCTGGTTTTTTTTTCCACTTAATCTAATGTTTTCAGGTTTCATCCATATTGTAGCACATGTATAGGTCCTTCATTTTTTAAAAAATAGACTATATTTTAGAGTGGTTTTAGGTTCACAGCAAAGCTTCATTCCTTTCTAAGGTGGAATAATATTCCATTGTATGGATACACCATATTGGTTTATCCATTCATCCACCGATGGACATTTGGGTTGTCTCTACATTTTGGCTGTTGTGAATATTGCTTCCATGAACATTCATGAACAAATATTTGTTTGAACACCTGTTTTCAATTTGGGAAAGTGTACACCTAAGACTGGAATTGCTTGGTCATGTGGTACCTATGCTAAACTTTTTGAGTAACTGCCAAACTCATTTCTAAACCTGAGGCATCATTTGACAGTCTCACCAGCGGTGTATGGAAATTCTAATGTCTACACACCCTTGCCAAGACTTGTTATTTTCTGTTTTTATGGTTTTTTGTAGTTGTTATTTCATTCTAGCTACCCTAGTGGGTATGAAGTGGTACCTTATTGTGTTTTTGATTTGAAATTCTATAATGATCCGTGAGACTGGTCATTTTTTCATGTGCTTTTTGATCATTTGTATATCTTCTTTGGAGATAAGTACTTTGCTATTCAGGTACTTTGCGCATATTTAAATTGGAATTTTTACTTCTTGTGGCTGAGTTGTGAGACTTCTTTATATATTCTAGATACATAACCCTTATCAGATTATATTGCAAATATTTTCTCACATTCTGTAGGTTGTCTTTTTACTTTCTTAATAATGTCCTTTGATGCACAAAAGTTTTCAATTTTTGTAAATCACAGTTTATCTATTTGTTCTTTTGTTGTTCATGCTTTTGGTGTCATATTTAAGAATCCATTGTGAAATCCAAGGTAATGAAGATTCACTCCTATGTTTTCTACGAGTTTTATTGTTTTAGCTTCTATACTAGGTTGTTGATACATACTGAGTTAATTTTTGAATATGGAGTTAAGTAGGTATTCAACTTCTTTGGCGTGTGGTTAGTCTGGTGTCCCAACACCATTTATTGAAGAGACTATTCTTTCCATAGCTTCCCTAGTGGCTTAATTGGTAAAGAATCTGCCTGCAATGAAGGAGACCCGGGCTTGATCCCAGGATGGGGAAGATTCCCTGAAAGAGGGAATGCTACCCACTCTAGTACTCGTCCTTCTTTCTTTCCAAACTGGATGATCTCGGCATCCTTGTTGGAAATCAACTGGTCATAGATATTTGGGTTTGTTTCTAGACTCTTAATGCTATGTTATTGGTCTATCTGTCAGTCCTTAAGTAATAATCAAAATGTCTTTAATTACTATAGTTTGTAATAAGTTCACACATCAGGAAATGTAATGTAAGTCCTCTAACTTTGTTTTTCTTTCTATATACATTTTTTGCTATTTAAAAGATGAGGATTGGACTTACAATTACATATGAAGATTGGCTTTTCCATTTCTACAAAACATTAGAGTTTTGATAGAGATTACATTGTATCATAGATCACTTTGAGGAGCATTGCCATATTAAATATTATTCAGTTTTTCATCTCTCAGGCCTTCACTTCCAAGGTGACCAAGGAAAAAGAAGGAACAACAGTCAGGCCAAAAAGGGCGGTGGCCACGTGCAGCCCACCCACGGAGTCAGCTGTGCCCGGTGCG